AGGGGAATCTGCCCAGATTCACTGTTTTCCCAGTGGCCGGTGATTGATTGCACAGCCCACTTCCATCTACGTGATTTTTCTGACAGTGTCCCTTTAAGAAACTAATTGTAGTGGAAGAGACAGACAGAACAGTATAAGATGTCCAGAACTGTGTGTCTTCGCAGCACTGTCATCTCTCTTCATTTTGCTTGCCCTATTAGAGATTTTTCTCCAAGGACTGAAACTCAGAATTCATACCTTCTGTGAAAACATCCACATTAAATTAATTTATTTGTGATTCCTCATATTGTGTAATTGCAGCATATTTATATACAAGCCATTAAACAGCACTCTTCCATTTTAATTAAAGGCTTATGAAGCCACTGGAGTGTCAGAAATATCTTGAAAGGCTCCAAATACAGGGAATATCAGGAGAAATGATTCCAAGAGCAGCAATCATTCTCTAGAAGAAGAGGATGCCAGGTGCCAAAAAGAACTGCCTTTATACTGTGAACATGGCTAGAGTACACAGGCCTTCAAATTGACTTTTCACTTGCCCCCACATTTTCTCAGTTGTGCCAGCCGAGTGGGGGAACCTTAGCATTGTTCCAGCTCAGAGCTTTGATCAATGGATGGCCAGACATTCCTCTTGGGATGGAGAAGAGATTCACAGATGCTTCCTGCACCCAGGCTCTCAGCTGCTGGCCTCACTGAATGAAAAACTGAACTGGGGCAGAGTCATGGCCCCATTCAATATGCTCATCTCTCCTAGCACCTCTGTTTATTTGAGATACTTTGAGCCCTGCTCCATTTCACCTTCCCCCCAAATGAGCTTTGAAAGCCAAGCTTTAGTGGATTGAGGTGAAACTGGGAGGAAGGCCACCAATCATGACAAGAGGCAAGCAAACAGAAGTCACAAGGAGATGGGGTAAAGAGGAAGAGAGAACCACCACACAGAGGACACGTTAAAAGATGGGGATCAAAACCACAAATCTCAAAATCCCAGAACATGGACACCGGGGAGAGAGAGAGAGAGAGAACAAACAGAAGAGAAGAACTTCATTTCAGAATCAGGATTTCTTATTAAATGCATTATTTGTATGCAGTAGCACCCAGAGGTCCTAATCAGAACCCCATTGTGCTGGGCATGGTACACATATATAATACAAAGATCATCCTTTCCCTAAAGCTTACAATCTAGACATATGAAGAGAGACAGCCGGTGAAGATAAATGAGGAGGACGACAAGATAACAGGGAAGCTATCCAATTTATTTATAATAAGCAGCAGTCTTAGTATGCTCACTTCCAGCCATCATCAACAGGGGATTGTACCCGAGTTTCTCTCAGCTGCTGATTTAACTACTTATTGCAATAAACTAGGCCAATCGGAATAAGAAATTCAGAAATAAAACTTCTCCATTTAATTTTTGAATCCTCTCATTTGACGGTGGGTTTGTGCACGTGATTCTGCCTTGAAATTAAAGCCCTCTGTACATTACTTACTGTACTGTCTCTAATAGCATCTCTATAGTGGAATGAAACTTGGCAACTCCATTAGAGACCTTGGATAAATCCAGATGGGCTAACATTGGGTATACACTTTGGTACCCAAATATTTTTTTTTAGCAAGAGAAAAAAATTGAAAAAGATGGAACAGTTGTACTATTAGAGAGAATAGGAAACATTGAATTTGGAAATGGATTCAATTGCTTTTTGCCAAGTTCTAACTAAAAAGGCTACATTTTAAAATGAACCATGCAATCAATCCCTAGGAGCTTGGGCTTTTAGGTGTTTTTAAAATTAAGAGAAATTGACATAATTGAACAAGTCCATCCCTCTTGTAACTATGTTTTTTTCAAATTAATGGGATTATAATAAGGATGAATTTGTCCCTAGGGTATCTTAGCTTGAACTTCTAACCCCATTGAAGTCAATGGGAGTTTTGCCATTGACTTCAGTGGGACCAAGATTGCACCCTGAATGTACTGAATAGTTCTTTTGTCAGAGGGGTTTTTTTATTATTATTTTAAAACCCTAGCTGCCAACTGACTTTACAATGAACTCATGCCAGTGTATGGGCACGTGTATGGAGAGAACATTGTGATATCAATAGGAGTCCGTGGAGGCTATGCTGAGATATCAAAGTAATAACAGAAGTCACATTACCCTAAGGGGCAAAAATTAAAAATCAAAAAGTGGCAAAAGTTAGTGCTGGTAGAAGATGCTGGCCTGACAGTTCTTGAGCCTGAAGACCTCAGTGTAGCTATTGGGGATTTACACAATGGACAGTGGGAGTGAAAGCTTTTCACACACTACCTTGCACCAACATGCCTCAAACCAGTTCTGCAGCGAATATGTGCAGAGAAAGGAGAATTCAGTCTCCACGACCTATTTGGTCCAGACTTTAGTGCAGGGGGTTACAATTAATGCCACTTGTAGCGGGGTGAACAAGAATCCAAACTGCCCTGAGACAGAGTTATCTGAGGCTTTTATATAGCACTTGTCACCATGGTAGCCAAGTGCTGCACAAAATTAATGACAACAAAAACCTGAACAAAGAGGTGGTTTTCTCTCTCTGCTCCTTTGGGGCAGACTTTGTGTAGTGTTTTTAAAATGAATTGGAGCATTGATGGTATGGGAAGGCTCTGTCAAAAAGGTAAGTGCTGTACCTTGATCTGACCATCACCAGAGTTGGGGGGATGGACCAGCTCAGGGATGGCACAGGAGTTCAGTCATTGTGGCCCATTAAGCTTGTGGTCGCTTTATTGACACTGCCCACAAAGGGGGGAGGAACTAGTGCAGTGGTGATGTTGACATATTACACGTCAGTAATAAAAAAGGGATGCCATAATCCAGTGTTTGTGTCATATTGACCAATTTAAAAGAAGCAAGTTTCTATTTATACAGATACCCCCTCCAGGGACCAAACATGGTGGGGAAAGAAATCCTATACATTTTCATTTAAAACATTAATTTTATTTTTAAACTAAGTTTGGAATGTGGCAGTAATTCCATAAGCATTCTGAAATTCGAGAGATGCTCCAACAATTTATAGCAATGATTGCAATTTCTTAATCTACTGGAGCAAGACAACCGGGGGTTACATTTTTTTCAGAATTGTCATGTAGTTTGGGGACAGTTCACTACTGGGCAGAACATTCCAAATTCAAGCCTCTTGCTTTCATTGCCATATTTATTTAAATACTGGAGGGAAAGAGGGTTACAAACATCTGTGCATTTCTCCTTCTTGCTTCAGCTTCCAAATCTGCCAGTGCAGTGAATTAAAATACAATTTTAAAATAATAGTGGTAATAATGGTAACAAGGATCTTTTAAAGAACTTTAACATAACAAAATGATAAGGTACAAAATCAAAGAGATACAATGAACTCCTCAAAATATCCAGTGGATTGCTTTCTCATCAGTAAAGTACAGATGGTGGATAGAAAACATTTTTGAACTCTAATACTGAGATTTTTTTATTTAGAAACAAACTACTGCTTTGCAGGTGGTGAATGTTTTTGGAATCCCTTGCTGGGCAGGTAAGCAGATGGATTTAACACAGAGATTCTGCTTCTCTCCCAAAGGTTTATATTCAGACTATAACAATATAGTAAAAACTTTAAAAGAAAATCAATACAAAAACACAGCCCATGATATACACAGACTCATCTTTGGGGGTTGAGGACATCATAATCAAGGGCACACTGTCTTCAGAAACTCATTAATGCTATCAGAAAAATAGCTCAAAATATAAAAACACTAAACAGGAAATTTTAGATATTGCACACCACACACTGAGTATATTCGCATATAAAATTACACACACAATGCATATACAAATGCATACACATGAAAAGATGAGAAATATCTTTTAAACCTTTCTGCTCCTTGAGCTGTAGCCATCCTCTCTTTGTTCACTTCCCCCTTCTATTTTGCAAACTGAAGCCAGAGTAGCTTTAAAATCAAACAATAAACCTGTATGGTGTTTAGTCATTTACAGTCAGCTGGGGTTAATAAAACTTGTCATATACAATTTTGATGCTGGTAAGAAAGCCATAATTCAGAGCTGTGATCTCACTATCATATATTAATAGCTTCACTTTACACAGAAAACTGGAATGAAACTAAATAATAATAATAAAAACCAGTTTTAAACAAAAAGCAAACATTCCTGACTCTACACCTCCCCCTAGTGGAAAATAAGCCAAAGTTAAATACAAGGGCTTTCTGTTACTGTAAAATTGTATCTTCAGACTCCTTCAGTAAGCTAAAGGGGAAAATTGCAAATTTGGAGAATTTCTATTGTTAGGCTACTTTGCATAACTAACAAGATATTAGCCTAAAGTTAAATAGTCTGTGTCTCATTTAAGACAATTACAACTCTGATTTACTCCAAGTAAAAATGTTTTTATTTGTAATTTGCAAATAGCTTCGTTAATTATTTTAAAAGGAACATTTTGGCAATAAATACTGCTTATATTTCACCCATTAAAGGTGAATAGGGAGGATCTGAAAATAAATAACCTTTGGCTACCTAGGCCTTCATCGTTGCCACAGCCATTTGGAAATTCACAATATTAGAACTCAGTGAAAATAGAACCACTGGAGTTACTGAAGAATCTCCACTAGTTGTTAGCAGCACAGGTCTGGACAAGCTCTGATATTCAGCAAAAGGCAATGGCACACATGCACTTCCCTGCTTATTACAATACAAAATACTGTTTCAGATCCAAAAACATTAAGATGGGTGAAACTAAATTACAAACATATGCATCTTAAAATAAAAAAATCTGAAAATTATTTGCTCTTTTACTTTCCTGCCAGAACCTGAGCTCATAATTCTCTGTTTCCCTGCATGAACCAATGAGATCAACAACAAAAACTGCAGTGCAGGGAGCTGCATTTGTAACACAGAAACATGAACTTGAGTCTTACCAGTAAGAAAAACAAGAATCTAAAACAAACATTGGTATTTTTGTTAAATGTCAAGTTAATCTGGAAGGAGAACTATCTTTACCATGACAGTTAGCTCCCACCATTCTTGAGGGTCCTCTAAGTCCTGAGCTCAGCCTTGAAAACTTCTCCTATTTAAAGCATTCTATGCTCAGATCCTGTCTCATGCTCACCATCTTGCTAGCCAAGAAATGGGTGGAGCTCCCGTTGGGCTTCCCTTTTGGTTAATGGTGCTCCTAAATTGGACAGAGAAGAGGGGTCACTGCTGAGTATTCAGTTTCTATTTATTTCATTAAGAATAAACACAAGGTGATAGTACTTTTAATGTAACTAGGCATCAGAGTATATCTTGCTTATGTCTTTTCTTTATTAATTATTTCCTTATGCTATGGCTACACTACAGTTTAAGTCGACATAAGTTATGTTGTTCAGGGGTCTGAACTAGCCACCCCTTGAGCAACATAATTTATACCGATTTAAGCAACAGTGTGAACAGTGCTAAGTCAGTGGGAGAGCTTCTCCCACTGACATAACTACCACTGCTCGTGGGGGCTGGAGTACCTTAAAAGAGAGCGGCTACACAGAGAGCTTACAGTGGTGCAGCCATACACTCTAGTGTAGCCATAGCCTTAGACAGTGATAGTACCTATACTATGCTACATGTTTTCTGAGACATAAAAAGACAGTACCTATCCCAAAGAGCTTAGACTCTTAAAAACAAAATAACTGGACAAAGGTGGAGGGAAGGAGATGAAATATGCATGTAGAATGGACAGGAGGTGGTTGGATGCTGTGTATTTGTAGCCATGTTGGTCCCAGGATATTAGAGAGACAGACTTTTGAGCTACACAGAGCTCTTCTTCAGGTCTGGGAAAAGAACTTGCAGTGTCACAGCAAAATGCAAGGTGGAACAGATTGTGTAGCTGGCACATAGTGTAAGGAACCATAGAATGGCCTGTTAACACCTCTGCAATGGTCACATCATTATTTTTGTATTTACTTGCATAAATTACCCCAATTGCCCTCCAACACATCAATTATTAGCTGGCTCATTTATTGTAGGTTTCCCAGCAGAAAAGGGTCTTGAGGAGGGTTTTGAATTATCAGAGAGTAAGTGGCCCGGTGCATTAACTCAGACAGAGTATTCCAAGCATGTGGGTAGAGTACAAGAGACAGAAGGTGGCTATGGGAGAAATGGATGAATGGGGCAACAAGGTCAGCATCACTGGCAAAGTGGAGGTCTGAATAGAGATACCAAAAAAAGAAAAGACAAGGTCAGGTAAGCAAGGAGGGGTGCAGTTACACTGGGTACTGACAGTAAGAACAAGAAGCTTGATGTGGTGGTGACAAAGTTAGAAGAGATAGTTTAAGAGTCTGTTGACTTTGCCAGAGCACTGAGCAAGGAGGATGATCTTGGTAGCTGTGGTTTGAATGGAATGAAGTGGGGACTAACTGGGTGTTAGGGAGACCAGAGAGGAGGAGGTTGCAGTTATCCATATGGAAGGTTTAATAAGGCTTAGAAGAAAACTTTGACTGTCTGAACAGAGAGGAAAAGTCAGATATTAGAGATGCTGTGAAGCAAAAATGGCAGGATTTAGACACAGTCTGGATGTGAGGGAGGGAGCAGTCAAACATGGCTTTCAGTTTGTGGGATTCAGTGACAGCGGATGGTGGTGTTGTGATCAGTAGTGTTAGAGAAAGAGGAATGGGGAGAGATTTAGAGGAAAAAATAAAGAGTTCAGTATGGTCATGTGTGACGGGTTCGGTCACAGGGACCTCCTTGGGACTGTCACCTGATGTGCTGAATTTACCTCTGAGACCATTTTCCCTGCCAGCTTGGGACTCCAGAACCCTGCCTTGTTGAGCCAGACATGCTAGCCTGCTGCAACACAGACCCAGGTCTGGACCATGCCCCCAAAGCTTCAGACTTTAACCAAAAACTGCTCAGTAGGTCACCTATCTCCAGCACCCAGACACCCAGTTCCTAATGGGATCTTAACTCCAAATAAATCCGTTTAATACCCGGGGGAGCAAACAGCTATGCATATTTCTCTATCAGTGTTATAGAGGGTGGACAATTTATGAGTTTACCCTGTATAAGCTTTATACAGAGTAAACTCATAAACATTATATTTGCACTCATTAGCATATTTCCATAAAACATATGGAATGCAACGTCACGCTATGTTTAGTTTAAGTTGTTGATGTGACATTCATGAGGAGATGTTGGAGAAATAAGATGAGATCCAGGTCAAAGGAGCAGAGAGGTCAAGAATGAGGATAGAGAAGAGGCCCTGTGATGTGGCCAGGAAGAAGTTAAGAAATTTAGGTGAGAGAAGTTTCAACGGAGTAGAAAGGGTGATAGGCAGATTGGAGAGAATCCAGGATGGAGGTGGAGAAAGGAACTTGAGTCAACAGTTAGCATGTTTGATGACCCATTGATTATGAGAGACAATGCGAGAAAAAGTATAGTGTTTTTTGACAAAGAAAATAGGAAAGTGAAAGAAGAGAGGACAAATCTGTAGGGAATAAAATCTGCATGGTCTGTAAATCACAGGTAGGGAGATGGAATTGGACAGCTAAGCACTCTCCCAAGAAGCCGCATATTCCTTTTCAGGATTATGTTTGCAATACTGATTCCAAAACTCATTAGCCATAAAATCCTCCTTGAAGAGTGGTTTGAAATGGACATCATCATATGGAACCACACCAGCAAGGGGAGACATCCTGCCTGTTCAAAGCTGGCAGTCTTCACTACCACCTTACAGCGAGACACTTACTGTGAAAAGAGTAGCTTTGTGCGATAACGGAAGCAACATAGACTGTGCAATGAGACCAGGATTAAGGTCTAAGTGGTGCAGTTTTTGACATTAATATCAATAGATGATTACCATGTAAACCCCACAGCCCATGAAGCAGAATATATCCCTCTTAAAAGAAACACTTATAACCCTGAATGGATATTACTATTGTAATGTGCATAACTGGCTTATTATTTATAGTAGCAGGAGTACTGGATTTGATCAGTGTTGCAGAAGTTTCCAGTCTAGTTCTCCATTCCCTTTCGGAAAGATGCATCCATCCTTTGGCCTGAATTCTTCAGTGCCTGGTCTCTGCTGAAAGGTCTCTTTTGTGTGGTGGACCGAGCTAAAGCCATTAAGCCATTTTCCAGTTATGATAAAAGAAATATTGAAGAAAATACTGAGATGGAAGAGGTGTGGTAATTCAATAACGACTTCTTTGAAACTTCACATCTGATATGTAAACAATCCCCAGTAAACTATACTTGCTTTGCTAAATGTAAAAAAAAGAATGTGCAACAGTCAGGTCTGGCAGCAATGCCTATAGTTTAAGGTGTCTCAGGGCAGGTCTTCACGTACGGGGGGGGGGGGGGGGTCGAGTTTAAGATACGCAAATTCAGCTACGCGAATAGCTGAATTTGCGTATC